CCTATTTGGGTGTATTTTCTTTCCTTGTAACTACTAAATCCAATTGTTTGTTTACCTGAAAATAGATGAGATGTAATTGATGCAGTTTACGAGTCATCCGTGGATCAAGAGTGTTTTATGATAGAGCTTTGAAATGGGAGTTGAGCAATAGCATGAATGTATGTATTGCCTTTTAGTTTCATTTGGTTAGTAGATTTTTGCCCCCTCAAGATGCTTGTGGTTGTTTTCAGATAATATGCTATTCACTGGCTTTTACTTTTTCCTTTCATTTTAGAGTTTGTGTGTGTGTGTCTAATATATCATGATATGTGTCATAAAATAAAGACTGGACTAAACTGACACATAATTACATAAAATTGACACATAATTAAAAAGTTACTGTATATATTTGAAACTCTAAAAAGAATATTGAGCTAAATTGATAAGAAGAAAAAATATTTTGTACCATATTATTACCCTAAGTGTCAATGTATAAAAATAATAACAACAATAATAATAATAATGGACAATTTTCCCAATATTATTTAATTTATTGCGGAATCTTTCATACCATCTATTTCAAATAATTACAATGTTATAAGTTTCCGTGGATTTGAGTTTGAACTCGCCGCATTCTGACACACTTCAATTTTTTTGTGCATCTGTCAATTTTTTTTTTTCTATATAGTATAAAACAGAAAATATTTGACTACCGAATATATGAAGTGTGGCAACAATGTTTTCGTGGATTTGAGTTTGAACTTGCATTCAGTCAGATTTAAAATGTTTGTGCATCTATTATTCTTTTTTTTTTTTTATTCGTATACAATGTAAAGCAGAAAACATTTATTTTATTTTATTTATTTATTTATTTATTTATTTATTTTGTTGTTTTTAACAGAAACGATAATAGTTTTATAGACTTGTATTTTGAACTTGTAAAGTAGAAAACATCTGACAAACGGAAGTTAGGGGAAAAAAATATATCGTCGACAGCAGGGTTCGAACCTGCGCGGGCGAAGCCCAACAGATTTCAAGTCTGTCTCCTTAACCACTCGGACATATCGACTTATTGTCTTTGATGGCACACTACTTCAACTCAGTAGTCATTAGAGAGTGGAACGGGACAAATCAAATTAAAAACATGTGTTCTTAAATAGGGAAAATTTTAGAATAACTCGTGGTTCGTTATTAAATGATACTATTTTTTCTATAACATTTCACTCAAAAAAGCAAAAGAGCACAAATAAGAGATAATTACCTAGTGAACTATACATCACCATCTTTATTGTATAATTACAAGCCATGTATAATTAATTGCAATCATCTCAAAAAAATTAACTACTAAATAATTACACCCTAATTATGGTAATAGCGATTTTAAAGGAAGTTAATATCATATCATAAACTGAATCCTCATATCAAGGGAAATAACTCACAGCCATCCTTACGCATCTCTAATCTTCTCCTTTCTTCTTCTTCTTTGTTTCCCCATTTTTTTTGCATTGAATTGTTGTGAAGTAGCAAAAAATCGATGTGGGAGGAGGAATCGTGACGGCGGCAACGCTAATGTTCATGGCGGCCATGGCGCTTAGGTATGCGGCAGCGGCGGTGTTAACATTTGTTTTCACTTTTCAGAAGTCTCCAGCTCCTAACATTGTATTTCCAAACGTGCATTCCCTTTAAATACCAACTTGGCCCACACTAAACCGAAGTTTAGTAGCAGCTGACCAAGCTTGTGCTACTAGACATACGCATCATACTCCTCTACAATGTTCCTCTCATAAATTCACATTCAAGTTAGCAACTACACAATTATATAGATATCCAAGTAACAAGCAATTGTCAAAACAACAACAACAATAAGTCGTTAAAATCTCACTAAGTATGTCGGTTATATGGATCACATGCCGCCATCGTGCTCGATCAAAAAACATGTCCTCATGGCATCTTTAATAGAAGATTTTGAAGAGATTTGAAAATACAAATTTGTAAGGTTTGTTGTTAGAAGCAAGAGGTTTAAGGTTTATATTTACATACCAGGTTTGTGTTTTCAAACCTCAACCAAACCTCCTATGGGAGCCATTTAAAGTGAAAAAATACAGTTGCATGAAAAATAAATATAGTTTTGTGGTGAATTGTTATTTAATATATAAAAGTATGATATTAAAATAGAGTAAGTGGGAAATATGTGAAACCCATTGAAAAGGTTTATGATTATTTAGAGTCTTTGGTTGCAGAAGTAAGAATGAAGTTTCGAATGATGTGGCACATTGGGAATAAAAAAAAAAAGTTTATAAAGATTTACTATTAGAGATGCTCTCTTTCAAATTTAAATATTTCAAATTATTTTTTATTATTTCCTTATAATTTTTCTTAGGTCTACCACTCCCCCTATTAATTTGCGTTCTTAATTCTAATGTTTCGTTCACATGCCCAAACCATCATAATCTTGATTCTCTCATTTTTTTTACTTCTTTTGCGCTACTTCAACTTTATTTATAATATTTTCATTTCTAATTAATGCTCACACATCCATTTCAACATTCTCATATCTGTCACTCACATTTTTTTGATCAATTTCATATTTAGTAGTCCAACACTGAGATCCATAAAGCATCGACGATCGAATGGCCGTTCGATAGAACTTGCCTTTTAAACTCACTGATACTTTACGATCGAAAAATATCGACGACGCGCTCCTCCACTTGTTTCATCCCGATTGAATTCTATGTGTTACATCTTTATCTATGTTGACATTATCTTCTAAAATAAATTCTAATTTAGAACTTTCAGTTGTATTCTACCCAATTTTAATCTTTACCCAATTATTTTCTTTGATTACCAAAATTACACTTCATATATTCCGTTTTGGTCCTACTTATTTTAAAATCCTTAGATCAAGCGTCTCTCTCCAAGTTTCTAACTTAGCATTTACTCTCTCTTGTCTCATCTACTAATACTATGTCATCCACAAACAACATGCAATCAGTCAAAAACATTGCCAAAGTTTGTGGGCACAAAGGGTTGGCATGGGAATTGACAAGGGGCATAGGTAGTTTTCGACCAATACAAATAACACATCAATTTCGACAGAACAATCGATGCCCATCCCAAAGCCAAGCAAATGAATCTGACAACCAATCAAGAATGAAAACACAAATAAAGAACGCCCCTCGATGAAACAGGAGATAACTTGCCAGTGATACATCAAATATTAGAATAATGCAGTACCAAAATTTCCTTTCGCTCGCATTTTATAAAACATTATACAACGAGAAACAATACAAATTCAAACTACTATAAAGAATTATAAAATAAAATATTAAAACGAAAAACCTGGGGAGCGCAAAGAATCCCTTAAACACTATTCGCCATAATCCCACATCCAATCTCCGGCATAAAAACACAGTGTGTGTGTCACACCATTGAAAACTCTTAAACACTTACCTCTCGCACACAATCACCATGCCTGACACCCACGAGCTAAGGTTAGTCAAGGAAAAGAATCCCCACCTTTTCCTATCTCCGATGATCAGAAGGTGGGTGCCGCCTATTCCCTCCCCTGCCGAGTGCCGAGAATTGGTTGCCTCCATGGCGAGGATTGCCATATCCTCGACCGGCATTTGGGTTAACTGGTGGTGGCGGTCCCCACCTACCACCACCACTCTTATTGCTATGGCCACCACCATGAGATCGTTCGGCTTCAGGATGATAACCCGACTGTTGAGGCTGATGATAATATGCACCCGGACGAACCGGAGGGTATGGACGAACCAGACGAGAGTGGTGGCCGTGCTGAGGTGGATCCCTCACGTGAGCAGCTGACCTGTTGTAAAACTCATTGTACGGTGGAAGAGGAGGAGGATTGTTGGGAACGTGTGGTGGTGGTGGTGGAGTGTAAGGTGGTCTACTGTTGTTATGGTGAGGAGGAGGATAGGTTGGGGTTTGTGGGTAGGGGCGATTTGGGTAAGAATGGTAACGCGGGCCATGCCCAGCGGGATGATGAGGTGGCATGTGATGTGGCGGATGGTGACTGGACTGTAAGCTGTTGACGACTAGGCGATGAGCGGCCTCCCCGAGCTGTCGGCCGGATATGGCTCCGTTGGGGTAGTTGTGCCTGTTGGGCTCTGCCGGGTGTCGGGAGGGAATGGCTCCGTTAGAGGGATTGTGCCTGTTGTGTTCGGAAAAGTGTCGGCTGGATGAGGGGCCATGCTGAGAATTATTACTATGCCTGTGGAGAGATTTCTCTTTAAGAAATGCGACTACTCAAATGGTAAATTATAATGAATGTGGCTTACATTTACAAATGATAGGCCCACTTAGGGTGTGTTTGTATACCAAAAAATTCAATTCATACTCAAAATCTAACTCAACTCCACTATCCTTAATCCTCAATATTGTCAGTATAACTAAATAATACCAACCAATTATTCTTGCACATCATCAACATTAATTTACTATAATATTAACTATCACTTTACATCATCTCTCTTCTACTTTTACTTCAAAACAACTTGAATTGTTTTATTTTAAATATTATTTTAATATAAAATCAAAATCCACCAACAATTAACCATACAAATTTTTTCAAAATTAACTCTGGTTAACCAAAAAAAGACTCATCTTGAGCGGATATATTTGTATACTAGGTAATTAACTAATT